AATCTTGCCCTTATTTGATAATTTTTACTGAACATGGAAGCTATAATAACCTGATGTCATTCTAATAAAAACTGCTGTCTGGAATTTCACAAGCCTGCAGTGGTCACAGGTCTTCTTTCCTCTTTGCTTCTTCCTTGAGAGAAAGGAAAATATTAAATGGAAAAGATCAGCACTGGCATTTTCATATTGGTTTTTGCCGAGTAGGTCCCTAAGAGAGAATGAGGGGCACTAAAATAGGCCTAGAATGAAGAGAAGGGGCTTAGTTATCCTTGTCTGTCTGCAGGCTCATCTTTTCTCTGGCCCTAAGTTCTCACCTACAGGAGAGAACTAGATCATTGTGATCATTGTGAGTTATATGGTTGCTTGAAATGTTGTGACTTTGTTCACTCATTTATTATTTAAAACATTCATTTTTTTTTATTAAAAAGTTTATTTTTACATCATTTTTCACATTTTTTTTTCATCTCAATTGTAATCCCCACGGGCTTCCCATCACCAAATCACCCCTGTGCCACCACCATAGTCCCGTGCATTTCCCTCCCTTCCCCCCCCCCCCCCCCCCCCCCCCCCGTTTTTGATCCCATTCCCCAGTCCACCCCCACAGAATGTCTCTGGTCTATGGTTGTTCATTATTTTTGTTATTTTCTCGCCTGGTCCATTATACTCCTGCTATGAGTGAAACCATCCGGTATTTTTCTTTCTCTTTCTGGCTTATCTCACTAAGCATGATCTTTTCCAGCTCCATCCAAGTTGCTGCAAAAGACATGTGTTTCTCTTTTTTGGTTTCTGAGTAATATTCCATTGTATATATGTACCACATCTTTCTAATCCAGTCATCTACTTTTGGGCATTTCTTACGGCCTTTTTTAAAGTGAATGGCATGGCCTTAAATCACAGTGACATTGGCCTTAAAACCCTGCAACTGGCCCTCCCTGGTGGAGCTGCGGGTTAAAGCACAGCACTGTGAATCTGGCCCTGGCCGCTTCTGTGTGAGTTCAATCTCTACCCAGGAGGTGATCGGCATGGAGCAGCAGACCGCTCCTGTCTTGCCCGCTGCTCCCCTCAGCAGTGTTATTTCAGTCGGTCTGCCTGTTCTGCTCCCGAGTCTGACTATGGTGACTTCTCTCATTGCCCCTGCACCTCTGGCCTGTACCCTAGTTCTATGTGCATAAATAAATAAATCTTAAAAACAAACAAAACAACAAACCTTTGAACCAGATTTTTACAGAACAGGAATGTATCAATGAGCTTTATTTTCTTTAAGTCAAAGGATAAAGGAAATACGATGTGGTCTCTTCATGAGTATTTTGCTATATTCTTGCTTGGTGGTCATGTGAGAATACTTGTATCTTTTTATTCCCCTCAGCAAATCATTTTATCCATGGCACCTATATTCTTTGTTCTATACAATAGGCCCCAAATTTTCAGTAGGTGATTTAGAACTGTTGTCCCCCCAAATGATGCTAGTCTGGGACCTCTTTTACTCAGATAATTCACATGATTTTGTTGTTGTTGTGCCACCAAAGGCTCTTCATTTGACAACATTCTTAGCACTATTGACATGGCTAATATTCCTCCTTTCTTACATTTACATTTTAATAGTGGATGAGTGGCCTGAAAGGTTAACTGCACTTTTGCCATTTGATCCCAAATAGAAACTAATGAGAAAACCTGAGGCCAAAAAGGATTCAAGTACAAGCTGATGTAGGGAACTTGGGCCAGGTACAGGCATCCTGTGGTATCAGGTACAGAGCCAGCTCAAAGGAACTGCAACTTTAATTTCTGTAACAGTGGTCAGAGGACTTAGTCTTAGATGTTGCTTGTGTAATAGGGATCATTACTTTTGCTTTGAAATATTTTTGGATATATTCTACAGGGAAAATAGCCAGATAGATATCTAGCTAGATAGATATCTAGATAACCCATCTGAGCAAAGAAGCTATCTAGTGAAGCATTTTTTTTTTTGCTTCAACAGGAGAACAGAAGCCCCCACAGCAAGAAAGTTATTTCTCATCTTTGATTATCAAATTCTTATTGTTTATTTCAAAGGTCAGTGTGTTTTTGAAAGATTACTTAGAGAAAGGAAAAGCCTGTAGCCTATTCCCCTTTTGCATATGGCTTGGGGAAGAGAAAGAAACAAAGCAAGTGGGGCATACATCCGGGGACTCTTCCTGTGATGCCCTTCATAGTGACTGACCGGGATGGAGGTGCTTATAAGCCGCAAAGTGTGAGAGCACTGGGCCTAGTGACCAGGTTTTTCACATTTAGGTAAATACTTAGTATTTGTAGTAAGCCTCCATTCTCAGAGCTTTATGCTTGTAAATTACTGTTTTGAAGTGACTGTTTTATTTTTATGCAGTATTTTTTATAGTAATTGAAGTATTTTTTTATAATAATTAAAGCAACATTGATTTACCACAATGTATATTTTTAGGGGTATAGGTTTATACACATATATGTTATCACACCATGCCTACCACTAAAACACTAATAATCATCTGCCATAGTCCATTGAGTCCTTTAATCTCTTTCCTCCCTACCTGCCCTTTCTGGTAGCCTCCATTTATTTTCTTTTACAGATTTATTTTATTTATTTATGCATACACGAACTGGGGTACAGGCCAGAAATGAGAGGAGTGAGAGGATTCACCTGAGAGAGTGGGGAACAGAACATGCAGATTGACTGAAATACACTGCTGAGGGGAACAGCAGGCAAGAAAGGGGATTTCTACTGAAGCACTTGAGGTAGCTCCCTGGCTGGTGGAGGTCGGTATCCACATCATGTTGCAGTGGCTGCCAATAGCTTTTTAGGGCTGAGACTTAACCCCTCCACCCCCAGGGAGATCCTGGTAGTGCTGTACGATTTTCAGGATTTTAGTTTGCTTTTGTCTGTTCCTTTGTTCTTTTTTTATATTCCAAATGTGTATAAAATCATGGTATTTATCTTTCTCCTTCTGTCTTAGGTTGCTTAATATAATCCCTTCCAGTTGCTTTCTTGCTATAGCAAAAGGCAAGATTTTATCTTTTGTTTTTAATGCTAAGTAGTATTCCTTGTGTATATATATGCACCATATTTTCTTTATCCAGTCATCTGCCATTGAACAGTTGGGTTGTTTTCACAGCTTGGTTATAGTAAATAGTGCTTTAATGTACATGGAATGCAGATACCACTTCAAATTAATATTTTGGCTTTTTTTTTGGTAGAGTCCTAGAAGAGTAACTGATGGACCAGATGGTAGATTAGACTTAGTGCCTTGGGTCCCTCCATATTGTGTTCCATAGGGGCAGGACAATCCTGCCAACTGGGTTAGGGATCCTTTTGCTCTGTACCCTTGACAATATCTGTTCCCTCAGGTCTTTTTGACAGGAACCATTCTCAACAGGTGTGATATGGTTTTGATTTGCATCTTCACACTATTATTATTTATAGACAGTACAGCCCGCAGGTTTTCAAATGTGCAGGTTCATCAACTAGGTGCCAATATTATGTTTCCTAGATTTCATATTCTAACAAACAAAAGTTTGGTGGAATAAGTATTCACAGGCTCTTTCCAGACTTAGGAGGGTTCTGTGGGTCAGGGATTGCAGGTGGTGAAGAAGGTTCAGATGGAAGAATATGCATGCACCTATTTTTACATGATAAATTAGTTCTAAACTGTTAAAAATCATTATCCTGTCATTATATTATCAACTTCTTAAAATTTTGATTTTTGTTCCTTCTGAATGTGTTACAATATAAAGGCGTAGCATAGATTACTTAGAGGCAAAACAGGACGGGGTGGGGATTGCATATGCGCTGCTTCATAGAAGATGAAAACTGAAAGGGACAGAGTGGCAGCTGTTCTTAGCCATCAGGAAGTGCACCCCAAGTGCCTTGATTCCATGCCTGGAGCGAGGAGGCTCAAGCTGTGCTAAAGCCCCATGTACAATATTCTGAAGGTTGAAATTTCAGTGTTCAGTAGTTGAAAAATGATAATCTCTAAATTCTGTCCAACTGTATGCATTTTACGATGTAAAAATGTGTCTTCTCGCCTGAGAATTTATAATCCCACTGTTATTCAGCCAAGTGAGGCTTCCAGCTAGATGTTAAACTACCTGATTCATTTCTGCATGCTCAGAGATCAGTAAGTGCCAGGGGCATTGTGAATAAAATAAGTGCTGGCATGTTGAATGGCAACTCTGCCCTTTACCCCTCCTTTTCTCTAATTTATGATAAATAGTGCCCCCCAACCAGCAAAGACGGCTTGATAGATGCCATCTCATTCTTACCTATCTATGGCTTCCTCTTAACACTTTGTGCTTTCTGAGCTTGAATCTGAATGAACCAATTCACAAACTAGAGTAAAAGAATGAATGGGTATTTTCATTATAGGGTGTTCCACTGTAAAATAATCAAGAAAAAAGATAGCCTGGTACCCAGTGGTACCATGGTTTTGATAAGAGAACAAAGGATTTTTGGCAAAATATTGGGAGGACAGAGGGTATTTGGAGTAATCAAGTCACTTGTGCTGCAGCGGTCCCTAGTGCAGGTAAAGCACCTTCCTGCGAGCAGAAGGGTGTCCTTTAGGCATGTGTGAGCCATCCTGTTCATAGGATGACTGCACTTTCTGCTTTCTGTGCTGTTTGAACTCACAACCTAGTAACTACACTGTGGCCAAAGTAACCAGGCAGAGCACTGTAAAATGGGATATTTCATTTTAGCTCCTCCATTGACCCACAACCAATGCCCAATATTAATGATTCCTTTAAGATTCAGTTTTGGATTATTCAAGTAAAGTGCCATGTCTTCTACACTGAAGGAAAGACCAGGCTTCAGACTCTTGCTCTGAATTGTTTCCTGAGCTGCTTTATTATTTACTGAGATTCCTGAAATGCAAACAACCCAAGCTTATCAGGCAAAGGCAGATCCCCTGAGCCTTTTATCATTCTGTCTGCAATTTTGAATATTTCCTCTATAACCAGACCGCATACCAAATGAAGCTAGACTCTTTAAAGGGAAATGAGGCAATTGGAATGTCAATTTTATTTAGTAATATATTGTAAAAACTAAACAGCATATCCAGCTGATTGACAAAATCCATCCAACTGTTAAGGGCAAAACAAAACCATCTCAAGAGGTACAGCTATGCACATTTTTACCTATAGGCAGGTATTTAAAGAAAGCGAGAGACAGACTATTGAATGAGAATACAACATCTGGAATTGTCCAACTGATAAACTTCAGAGAGAGAAGGGATTTAGCAGCAAGGAGATCATGTCATGCTTTCTCTCTTCTTCTTCAGTGAGCCTTTTAACTTCTTCCACAGGCTGTCTTTTCTCTTCAGTTTCTTTTCCATTGAGGATAGCATGGACTCTTTCTTACGGATTTCCCTCACTAAACCATGAAAGGCATCATCAATGCAGAATCTGAGGGCTGCAGAGGTCTCGAAGAAAGCACAGTTGTATTCTCGGGCCAGGCTCAGGCCTTCTTCTGTAGAGACCTATGAGAAAAATCAGAGAGAGAAAGGGACAGACTTTTAGATCCAAAAGTATAATTTTCTACAAGGGCTGTGGACGTTAGCTACATGAATGAATAGTAACATGGGAGATTTGGATTTTAGGAGAGACTCTTAAATGTTAAATTTGAAGGACAGATGAGATTTCATAATTTCTGAACTAGAAACTGATTAAAACTGAAAAATGGAACTGGGAATCAAATTTCCAGGCCAAAAAATTAAGTGAGAAAGCATAGTAGGAGGAGTCTGATTTTAAATGAAAAGCTGCTAGGTCTCAGTCTCGAAATAGCTTGATCTCTAGTTGTCAGTTTGCTCGTCTGTGGCAGCCTTCTAGCACCCACCTCAGAGGCTGGTGATGTTAGGGTGAAATATGATCGCCGATCACACAATCAAATGCACACGGAATGTGATGGGCATATGTTTAAAACTGTATATTTTTATTAGTGACAGTCTAGAGATTTCACTTAAAATCAAGTCAGGAAGTTGCTGTGAAACTTCTAAAAACACCACTATTATGATAAATGAGCTTTCCTTAGCAGAGCACTTGGGGCCATTCTTAAAACCCCCAGTGTTTTGTGGTCCTGAACCGTGGCGTGGCTCGTGTTACTGGGGCAGGTGGGTCCTCCAGGATTGTAGACTGAGGCAGGGACTGGGCTTCCTTTATCATTCCTTTATTGTCTGCTTGGTGCCGAGATTACATTAGAGGCATTAGAGGGATTAGACAAAATGATTAATATAATCACCTGGGTTTTTATAAGTATTAAGATGTAAGCATAGGTGATACGCAAATATTTAAAGAGTGGATTATATGTCTGTGTAGCTGAGTGCTAATAATTATGCTCAAAATTTAGCACTCAAAATAAGTGATTAGATTACTCTCCCTGGCTTGAAAAATACAGAAAGCTGTAGAAAGCTGTCATTACTCTGTAAGTTGTTTGCCTTTAAGTTACTCACATGTTTGTTCATATAATAGATATATATATTTATATACATTCACCATTTCTCGCCATGTGGCTTTATGACCTGTCTAGTCGAGTTTATTCTTTGAAGCTGATATCTAGAGGTTTGTAATCAGAGCATCAACTATTGCTTCTTAATAGATACACTATATTTATTGATATTCGTGGTTGAGCTGGGATAAACAGATCTATCTGATTCCAAACATAGGTCCTTTCTAGCCTGTTAGATCAACCCACCGGGGTTAAACTGAGACAAGTAACTCATGTATTAGCCCCTTTAGCCATAGGCTCTGAATTCTCTCCTTTTGCTTTTACTCCTCCTGGCACCCGTTTGCCAGATACACAGATGGCTGGGGTATCTCTGGGGCCTTCTGCACGTGCAGAGGTGTGCATGTTCGGTTATGGAGGTCTGATTAAATGTAAATTGAAGGGAAGAAATAAAATGAGCCACCCTGATCCTGCTCTCACCAACCACAGCAATCCTTTTTTTTTGAGTTCATTCCTCAGTATCCTAACTCAGGAAATGCAGATAGGGTGATACTTGGCTGCTTCTAAGTCTAATTAGCTGGTCTTATATTCCAAGATTATTGCACAGGCAATAATCTAGCTAATAATTTGTTTTGACATCGAATATGCTGCCTGATTTTTTCAGACAACAATCTTACCCATCTAGAAACCGGTGCACCTGTTTTTTGTTTTTAATGCAAAAACCCCACACCTCTGAGCCATTTTCCACATTAATTTACTTTCATTAGTGGTTATAAAACATGTATATAAAATAGCTTCAAAACAGTTCTAGGCTGTTGGTTGTGGTTTGGTTTATTTCTGTTGTCATTGTATTCTGGGTCCCAGGCTGAAAGAGCATCTCTTATCTGGGAATGATGGTCCCTTGACCAAGCAGGCAGTCAAGAGACAGAGGCAGTTTTGCTCACATCTCACTGGTCAAAAGAGAGAGAAACCTAAAGTAGAGAAGCAGATGTACACTCATCTCACAGAGGAAGGTGGCAAAGATAGGAATAAAAACATAATTTCAATACAGTAACATTTACATTCTGAAATCTTTTGAATCGTATTATGTTATGAAATATACTAAAATGGTACCAAAGAATAAGACACACAAGAAATGATTTGAATCCTAGTAAAAAGAAGGCAGGGGAAAATACAGTAAGAATGTTGTTGGACTTTCCCTATTAAAGCCCTGGAAAGCTACAGCAGGTCAGGCGGTGAGGTATTAAGGGCAAAACATCCCAGTACAAAGCAATAAAGAAGCTAGAATCAAGGTTGATATCTATATCCACATGTGGAGCTTGATATATTATTGGGGTGACAAGGGGAAATGAAAGTGCATTCAATAGTACCCTGAATTTAAATTATCATTTTTCTTTTTGATGTATGGAGATTATTTCTACCAGCACAGAAAGCTGATTTTAATTTGGGGAGAGTAGTGATGGTAACTAAATGAGCTTTTTTAATATACATTTGAAAGTTTGCACTTGAAAACACACATACTTGTGAAAGCTTTCCTAATAATAGGTAAATTTCACAAATTGGAGACATCCAATTGAGATCAGAAAATAATTTTACATGTAAACATTATTGTTACAATCTTATGCAATAAAACAGTACCTTTTTCCTAGATGACATTACTGCATATTTTAGTACTTGTAGGAGGTTGAAGTTCATTTAACTAGTCACCATTTTGGTAACTAATATAGGCACCATGAATCCTCTATTTCAAAGCATGAAATGTAGATGCATATATTTTTAGATTTATTGTCAGAATATGAATTCCATGTTGCTTAAGTAACTCAATGTTTCACATCTATAATGATATCTAAATGGCAATTAAGATTAGTAAAACATCTGATCTTTGCTATTTCCTTAAAAAAATATCACTAGGTCAGTGACCTAAACTTTTCTAATGTTTAAGAACAAAAGTAAAAGCATACTTAAAAACAAATCTTCACATTTAAGTACATTTCTTCCATCAAAAATCATAAATTTGTTCTACCTTTTACTTTGGATTTCATATGCTATAAATTCAATGGAAGAACTTGAGTGCAAACATGTAAGAAAAAAACTTAAGTTCAACAAACATTAACTTAATAACCTTTTCATATTCTGGGCTTTATGTTCAGTAATTATGGTCAGTTTAAATGTCATTAATATTTGAACAGTATCATCAGGAATAATTTTGACTTCCCTAATTTAGCTGAGTGGTTCAGAACCACAGTACTAGGGCAAAAAGTAACAGCTTCTTTTCTATTGAAAGCCAGGGTAACTAACATATACTTCAACTTGCCTATCCAAAGCTCAAGTATTTATTTTTAAATCATAAATATTCATCCACATCATAAGTAACTACAGAGAAGCATCAGAGTGTGGGAAGGATTTTAATAACTCTTAGATTTAGGATCATCAGGTCTAGAGAAGTTAAGCATATGTTCGAGGTGATACACTTAATTAAATAAAACATACATCAAGTTCTTCTCTCTTCCATAAGGATTTAGGACTTCCCACTTGTTTCCTAGTAAGTCTGTCTAACATGTAGTTGACTACATGGATGTGAGGTGTTACAACATAGATGGTAGACAAGTAGCATTGAGTGCTACTTGTCTTTATATTTTTCCTATGTTTCAAATATCGAAACTTAGGAAAAATAAATATTGTAAAACGATGATTTTGGTGGAGAGGAGTAACTAATGCAGATACCATTATGCTAGTCCTATGTCGCCCTCAATTGCAAAGGCGGGAGTTTGTGAGTGAAAGTGCCACCTGGAGGTTTTAGAAAGCATTGGCAGAAAAAATGGGATAAAGAAAATTGTTTCACACAAGTAATAGAAAATTCCTATAGCCCAGGGGAGCCATCTTTTTAATATATGTGACCTTTTTCACCGAGGAAGATCACGGAGTAATATGCCAGGTACTCCCTGAAATGCCATTCCCCATCTGCCAGAGGAGGCATTACAGCACAGCCGCAGCTGCGTGGGGGGCTGATGACACTGCTGGGGCCCAGTGGCAAGCAGAGTCATTGCAGCCCAGGGCCAGCTGCTCGTGGCAAGCGCGCCGCCCAATTAGAGCTCTGGTCCCAACAATCTGCTGACTTCAGGAGGCTCAGTGATCTTTATATCTTTTATCTTTTACTGAGCTTGACAAAAATAAATTGTAAAGGTATTCAGGTAATGGTGGTTGACTGGTAAGCTCTGTAATTCTTAGTAGCACAAAAGGAAGCTGGGATACTGTGCTGCTGTAATTGCTAACCTTGAATGAGGAGAGATTGGCAGAAAAATGGGTCTGGCTCTTCCAGGAGAAGCCATGCAAGTGAATTATCTTTATGGTTAAACCTATTGGGCACTATTAAATCATTTAGTGTACAGAACAATTCTTTGAGATTTGTTTTATACTTTTTAATGTTTTCATTCTTACCATGGAGTTATACATTTTCATTATATAGCCTGGATCATCAAGCTACTGGGAATCAGTTTCTTAGAAAATTTGGGACCAGCACATCTCATTTATTGACTTGAAGGAAAAGCTGCCCAAATGTAGATTAATTTTTTTTTTCATTTAGCCATATAATTGGTTTTGATCATTTTTAACAATAGGAGTAGACTTGGTTTTGACCTGCTCTAATTAAAGCATGTTGGATGTATTTAACCTGATAGATCTACTTCCTTAATATGCAAGTTTTCTTTTAGAAGTAATTTTCCCTTTAAAGTAAGGGTACAGATGTCATCCCTAACTCCTTACAAGGAAACCAAAAGAAATCACTGGCTAGGAGGCCCTACACTTAATTTGTGGGAAACTCATTCTTGAAAGACTAGAGACTGGCTGGAAGGCTCATCACTTCCGGGTGCTCCCTCTGTACTGCACTCTTTCTCCAATTCTCTTTTCTAGGTGAGTGAGTAAGAACTGTCAGCTAAAAACCATGCATCTTTTAGGCAACTCCCTCCAACTTTTAGACTCAGTTATGTTGGCGCCTCCTTCCTTTATCTTGGGCAAGGCATATGACTGTCTCCCCATCCC